CTACTTGATCCCTAGTACCCTAAGGATTCTTACTTTGACTGCTCACCGACCCGGTGTTTCCACTAGTACGGGCCCAATACTACCTTCCACACCGCAACAGTGTTCATCCCAAGTTTTCATCCTAGGATCCTAGCTCACAAGTACTCTACATCTCGCTCAACATCAACTACTCTCATAGTAGATCTATCATATGCTCATTCCTGCTACCTACTCGCACTCAAGCAAATCACAGATAGCAACTCCTAGGCTAAGGCATCACAAATCAGGCCACTCTAGTCCTAAGTCATGAAATACCTAGCCTACTCTCTAGCATGCATATCATATCTTATAACAACTTATAACACATAAAGTAAGGGTATTTTGGGAAATCACCGTTCGGGCGCTGGCTGATTGTACACACTGCTCGCTTTCTCTTTCTCTTAAATCTCTTTCTCATTTTTGAAATCACTTCTTTTGAAAACTTTTCTCAAATCCTCAGTTTGAGTCCAGACATACCCGAAGGTGTATCCGAATCCCTCAAACCAAGGCTCTGATACCAACTTGTAACGACCAAAATTTTCAACCAAATTTTCACTTTTAATTTCATAAAATCATGTGTCACATCATAAGTTCTCAAAATCAATAAACAAGTTTTCAAAAAAATTATTCAAAATCCAGGATCATGTCTCCATCTCGATGCAGGTGTACAATCATGCTGGTGCCTTCCCGCGATCCTCGGAAGTACCTGAAACACATAACACATAACACGGTAAGCACGAATGCTTAGTGAGTTCCCCAAAATACCACATACACATACTAGCCACTCAAGGCTATAACTCTGTAGGACCCTCCAGCCCGTGTGTCTCAGTGGGACCCTCCAGTTCCATGAATCGTTGGACCCTCCGGTCCGGTCTGGGTGAAAGCCCATCCGGTCTCACTGTTCGTTGGACCCTCTGGTCCGGTCTTGTGAGGACCTTCCGGTCTCATTAATCGTTGGACCCTCTGGCCCGGTCTGGCGAGAACCCTCTGGTTTCAATATTCGTTGGACCCTCCGGTCCGGTGTAGGTTTCACATAATATCACATACAAACAAATCACACATAACATGCATAGCTCAACAGGCATATAAGATTCTCTATTCACACATGGTTACCACTCTAGGTAAAGTATAGTGAGAAGACTCACCTCGTGGAATAACTAGAAAAATCTCGTGCTCGAAGTCCTAGATCTAGCCTCTGCCTATCACAAGGTAATATTTCTAATTAATATTCCCTCACACTCTTATTTCTGAAAGGTGGGTAAAAGACTATTCTACCCTTCTCTGATCCCTCTCACTGATTTTGGACAAACCCTAAAGTCAACAGAAGTCAACCCCAGTCAACAGTCCCATTTTGACTAGACTCGCTGAGTTCATATAATGACTCGCCGAGTCCCATCGACTCTCAGGGACCCTCTGGCAGACCCAACTCGACGGGTCAAACCCCTGACTCATCGAGTCATTACGCGACTCAGCTCTTCGGGACAAACCCTAGACTACTCGCCGAGTCAGCTGTTGGACTCGGCGAGTCTATTCAGACCCTTAAGCATTCAGACGTTTTTAGTGCAAGATACTTTCCGAAACTTCAGATCTATACTCTCACAGCCCATTAATCACGTAAAGGTCCAATTTTTATGTTCATGCATCACACATCTAGCTCTTTTTGATGAAATAACCATCTTAATGGTGTTTAAGACTCAATACACTTATGGAACTGCGTAAAGCTAGGTTCATGGGACTCTCTGGACCTCCCAAGGTCCAGATCTGATGTCTAGGTCGAAAAGGGACCTTAAAATCTTCATATCTTAGCTCAAAAGAGGGTAAAGAACCCTAAATCCATGAGATCTACCCACTACAAGAGGTTAGGTATAGATTTATACCTCTCACAGAAGCTTGGAGTGAAATAGCAGCAAATCCCACGTCCTTCTTGCTCCTAAAGCTTGAAACTCTTCTCCTTCCTTGCAAATTACACCAAAGAAACTCACAAAAGCTCTATTTCTCACTCTAAGCTCTCAAGGTCGATTAGGGTTTCTCAGGGAACAATGGTGGCCGCAAATGAAGGCCATAAGGACCTTTAAATAGGTCTCAAACCCAGATAATTAGGGTTTCTCTCGTCAGCTCTGACTCGACGAGTCATCTCCCCGACTCGTCGAGTCCATTCATTTTCCACGTCACCAGATCGCGACCCTACTCGACGATTCTATGCACCAACTCGTCGAGTCACTCCAGAAAAACTCAATTTAACAATTAGATAATGTACCTGGGGAAACTGGATGTTACAGTTATACCTAAGTGCACATGCAACTTAGTATTTATGTTTTACTATTATAGCATCGTACTGTGAAAAACAACATACATAAGGAATTACTAACCTCTTGTTGACTTCCTTTTGATCTCGTACGTGCCTGCTTAGTTGTAAGATGAAGGATCTAAAGGATAATCCCTCTAATGGAATCGAACCCACACACCAAATAGAAAAAAGGAAGAAACCCAAAAACTAGGGTTTTTTTTTAAAATCTAGACCATATGAAAGGTGATGATAATTCAGTTATGGAGAGAGAGAGACAGAGAGAGACAAGGGATGGACGAATTTGAAGAGAGGAATAATCGACTCTAGGGTTCACCCTAGCAATCTATTTTATAGGTATTTTTTAGAATCTTAGATGGATACAAACTCTAGGGTTTATCCTTATCTGATTCAAACCAATTTTATGCCTATCCATAGGGCTTCAAAACCGTCCATTCTAAGAGCCCCTAGGATGTTCTGGAATATTCCAAAAATCCATATGATTAGTTAATATTTAACCTCTTATAATTAATTTACCAAAATAATTTTTAATTAATTTATTATTTCCTTAATAAATTAACACACTATTAAACTCCATTTCCTTATAGTATTTGGGTCATGAGGCCAACCCAAAAGTCCATGCTACTATTAGAAATATTATCAAAACAATTAATGACCTTGAACACTATTTCCAATACTTTTGTAGCGGTTGAAGTGATTAGAGAATGATGAAAGGCATATTTGGCTATGGTGATGAAGGTGACAAGCATGAGGAGGAGGAGGAAAAAGAATGAAGAACTGAAAGCCATCGATCGGAGATTCAAGAACTATAGACAAGTAACATAGTCATGTGTATTTTCAAACTCATTGAATGGATATTGAAGAAGCCGATGTGTTTTAAAAGCATGGTAAATCATTCTTTTGATCTATAGTGGGGAGTAGGAACACAATAAAGAAGACCCGATATCAAAATTTCATGTGATTTTACTTGGAAGATCAAATGACATAGGACACTGGTGATCTTCATTTTTTTATTAGTAAAAATGCACTCCTTCCGTTATATCAAAGATCAACAAGTCGATGATGACCCTATAAAATTCCAGCTCAATCCGACCATGTTTACCCTTCAATCCAGCCACTTAATTAAGACCATGCAGTGATGCCGAATTTCCAAAAAAATATTTACATCATTTTCTTTTTCTGTTTGATCACGGATTGTTGCTATGCGATTTCAAATGTGATTGCAAGGCTTTCCACAAGACTTCTATCCGTGCTCAAATATATCATTACCCAAACATGTAAAATTGGACCATACTAACGATGTAATGAAATGTATGAAATTCATGCTAAATATACACAACATAATAAATAGGCTAAAATGATGCGTAAAATGAACCTAACAAGGCTCACCATTAATGTCTCAATTAACCTCCTAATTGTTTAGCCACAACTTTATATTTCACCAAATATGATTTATTGGCCAAAAAACAAAAAAATTTCACCAAATGATTGTACTCTAGGGATCAAATCTTGGAGAATTTAATTTGGTTATGGTTTCAGTCGTGCCCATGTCATCAAGCATTTCATCTCTTCCGTTGTCTTTGCCAACAATCTCAATGATTGTGCAACACAATCATAGTATTGAAAGACAAACAGACTTTACAAAAATTATGTATGTTATTAGGAAATTGAAAAGAAACCAAAGTCCTATAAGGCATTTATACTTTTATTGGAAAATAAAACAAACAGTTTATTCGAAACAAAGTTAACCTCCATCTCACTTGCACTTCACACTTTTTACTAATTATTTATGTTTTAATTGGTGAAGAATTTGGTGTTTAGATTATCATTAAAAACTATTTTTCCTATTTTTTAAGAGGAAGACATTATGTATAGTTTTGCTATGTATTATTGAAGAGAATTTACAAGAGGATATACACGCCTTATCTTTTGTCGAGTAACGGAGTAAGCCAATAAAACAATATATAATTTGTCATTCGAAGTCAACAAACCAATTTATGTTCTTGAATTCCATCAACTACTCTTACTCCGCTTTACCAAAGTCTGTTAAAGTTCTCGAGTTTATTTATGTCAATTTAATTCAAAAAGATGTGTTCATAAGAAAATTGTAAAAGTTGTATTATCATACGAAATAATATGTAGGGCTAAGTAAAAATACCAATGCATCTTCAGAATACTGTTATTATTATGACTATTATATTTTATAATTTTCTCATAATATAGTATTTTTAAGTTATATCTTATTCTATAAAATATATATTATAAGAATAAGTATAATTAGAAACATATTGAATTGAATTTTATGACATATCAGACCCCTTTATACATGCCTTTGAGTGTTTATAAGAGAGATTCATTGGTCATCAGAGCTGTTAATAGGTTTTTGTGGTGTGTGAGATCTGAATGTGTAATATATTGTTAAAGTGGTAAAAATAAAGGACAGATAACACAAAAGGAATCTGATCCCCTTCATTTAACATGAACCTCCTATACAAAGTTGCAAATATCCTTCATCGACATCCTCCAAGTTTAGCCATTGCTGACGTTATGGAGGTTTGTTATCTGCTGAAATGTGTTTTCTTTGGATGTGAAAAAAAGAGGATGAAAGGATATGTTTGTAAATTAGCAGATATATAAAGAAAAGAGCTACTGAATTGAATTCCAATCCAAATATTTTCAACCAAACAACCAGAAGGATTTCAATCTCCTTAAACTCCAAAATACATGCAATTCCATTTCCTTGCGTAAATTCCAAATCAGTCAATTGGAAAGTTTGATCCAAACGCTCCCTTACATTGTTAGTCTATATTCTTAAGAGGAGGGTCCTTGTTGGTTTCCAAACAATCTGGAGAAAGGTATCGAACCATTAACATCTTCTTCATCTCTTTCCACTTAATCAGATAATATTTATCGATACGATAGTCTAGGTCATAGATCTGTTTCCACCATGAGAGAACCCCCCCTTCTTCCGATGGCAATGTGCCGACTATAAGTGGTACTTGTTTATACTCTGAGATCATATTCTCCTGGAAAAAATTTTCCACATTCGCCACCCACTCACAAAAGACATCAAGATCTTCAATATTCTCAGGGAAAGGGGGTGGGACGAAGGTTTCCTCTTGGGGCTCCTCATCTGAGATAAGAGGAAACTCAGGTTGATTTTTTTGAATTTTTTGCAACTCCTCCTCCATATGTTGTACACGGCTGCTCAGATCTTCGAGCGTGTTCGACATGGACGCAATCCCCCTTAGAATTTTATTTATATCATTCGCCACACTGAAAAATAAACCATTGTCGTTCATTATAAAAGAGTCCAAATCTTGATCAATTAAAAAATAACTAGTTATTCCCTCTAATGCCCAAAATACCTAACCTTTGTTCTTGATCCATGTCTTCTTGTATCAACTTCCCTGCATCAAAATTTTTAAATTCATGAGAACTTGTCTGACTGGTTTAAGCTTTTTTGATGCAGCAGACGACATACATACGCTCATGGTATGTATGTATGTATGTATGTACACATGTGCATAAACGTATGTAAGTTGTTAATTGTGGATGCAATCAAATGTTAAAGGTTTGCGGGCTGTGTTTAATAATAGCAGTAGCAGTAGCAGCAAAGCAAACATGTACAGAAATGAAAGGTGTCAAGAAAGTTGAAGCAAACATATAAATATATTGAGCTTAACCAAACATATGTTAATCCGAATTTCTGCAATACAACTCTAAAAGAGATGTCTATCAATATATTCAGAATATCAATGAAACTTATATCAGAAAAACCAAAATAGAAAATAACTAAACACAACTGAAAACCAAGCAAGGGTTCTCGAGTAATCAGAATCACAAATCACACAGCAATCAAATAATTAGTAGAGTAAGAAAGAAATTACCGTTAATCGTCCCGTCTACTCGTCCTCAGGTATCGATTTCTGAAATCGCCTCATTAATTTGCTGGCTCCCTTCCTTTTCACCGCCTCTCTACGCTGTACCGGACCCCTGAGGTGGAGCTGGATCAATCTTTGGTCCGAAAATATTATAACATCAATGTTGCCGTGGGTGCCCAGGCTGATCTTAATTGGTTTTTTTTTTTTGCAATATTTTTATATTATTTAGATGTATACCAAAACTAGGTTATATCTACAGAAACATATAAAAAAAATACATATAAAGTTATAAAAACGACACAATAAAAAAATAAAATAACATAAAGAGACTTAGTATTATTGATTATATGGAAACCACGGGTAAAAGATCAATAATGAGAATAAAGTAGTAATCTATTAACATATACTAACTGTATCTATCAATATAGCAATGATAGTGACTTTGATATAAAAGGTGAAAGTTTCTGAACGATTCAAACATTCTTGTTAATTATCATTATACCCCTAGTCGGTTTTGAATATATAAATGATGTAAAAATTAAATCAACTTCATTGAGATAGACTGAAGTGATATCACTGAAAAAGGTTATATTTTATTACCGAGGTGATAATTATGAATGAAGGAGACATGGGGAAAAGCTACTTAACTCAATTCAAAAGTTGAAGGTCCTGTAAATTTTTTACAAAAGGAAACAAAAAAGTATATCGCTTCTTTGTATTTTGGCCATTGTAAACTTTGTAAAGTGTTTGCTTTTACCGTGTCTTTACAATATGATAAGGTTAAACGAAACCTAGTTTTGATGGCTCAGAAGATGACAGAACAAAAACCATCAACCCAGGTTTTAGTTCGAGAACAAATACTGAATTTGTGGTTGAAAAATATCAATAACAAAGTGAGGATGACTAAATGGTCAATTCAAAGATGAAGAGGGCAGCCCTTGACATTTAAAGTTTCAGCTCTTCAATTAAGAAAAAGCTTTATATAGCGCTTGAAATTACAATGATTTAATAAGAAAAAAAAACATAACTCTTTTTAAAATAAGAATTATGCCACAACTGGCATTTTAGGGCTAGGATTTCCTATTCATGTACAAGATAGTTATGTGTGTAACTATATGACGCTATGTTAAATGTGAACTAAACTTCAATGTTATATCAGTTTATACATCCAAAAATTTTCTCCAGTCGAAACTTCTTTATGAAAGCTCTAAACCTAATCCAATAAGCTATATCCATTCAACTTTGAGCCTTAACTCAAGTTCTCTCGGTCCAAACCCTCTTAATGGACTAAGACCCTCTTATTGGGCCTAATGGGCCGGTAACCTCTCGCTTTGGCTCTTTTAGGCCGAACAACCACTATTGGGCCATTGTTGGGCCGTAAGGAATTATTTTAAAGCTTAATGGGACACAACTCACTATTAAACTTCCAATTGGACCTTGAAAGTCCGGAAATTTAATATTGGGCCCCTTTGGGCCGAAAACACTTCCATTTAGTGTAATTGGGTCGAGAACCCAATTATGGGCCCTAATGGATCAAAAATCTCTTTTGGGACCTCTCACTGAACCAAAAATCTTTATTGGGCCAAAAATTGGACCCATTATTGGGCCCAATCCAAGCCAAAAACACGCATAGCCGAAAAATCTTAGTGCGCTTGAGGTGTTTTTGGCCATTCGTGAAAAACGAGTCCCAAATCCTTTCCCCTCTCCTATTGGGTCGAACGGCCATCATTTTAATAAAAAAAAATGGCATTTGCTAAAAATGTGACACCTCATAGTTATCTTGCATGTAAACATGCATATTACACCTCATGCATCTATGCAATTAGGTGTTAGCCATTAAGTAATAACCATTAATCCTCTCCCTCTCTCTCTCTCTCTCTCTCTCTCTCTCTCTCTCTCTCTCTCTCTCTCTCTCTCTCTCTCTCTCTCTCTCTCTCTCTCTCTCTCTTTCTTCCTCATTATCGGCCGAGACCACCATCACCTCCCTCATTCTCACTTCAAACTTACTACAACTCTCTCATTTCTCTTTCAATCCTCAAGAAAAAATTTCTCATCCTTCACTCTTTCCTCTTAAAAGCCGTGGGTTTTGGGTACATGCAACAAGAAGTTCACTTCAAGCTATACACTTTTGGTAAGTTCCTATCAAATTCAAGTGGTTTTGTTTTAAAGTTATGCTAATATCACTCCTTAAACCATACAATTTCGTGTTTTGCTCCCTAGAACTCTCTTGGTTTCGAAAAATCTCTTCAAGAAAGCTATCTAGGCCGAAAACTTCCTTCCTTTTCCTCTTCACAACCGATAAAACCCAAGGTGAGCTTCATACCCCTTGTTTTCATGATTTTCCATCTTTAGGGGGAGAATACAAGCTTGGTTTTGTGTAAAATCTTTGTATTTATGCATGCATGTGTATATTTTCATGATATGTTAGGTGAAATGTTATGAAACTATGATAAAACACTCATGAACTCGAAATTTCATCCAAGTTTTGAAGTTATTAGTAAACAAGTTACTTTATGTAACTTCCTTTGATGCTTGGAAAGATTAAACATGTTAAAAGTTACTTTGAAACTAAAGAAAGTATACAAAGGGGCCATATTTGACAATAAAGATAAAAATGGGCTTCTATTGATGTTCTCGGTAGTAATGGGCCAAAAGTGTCATTTTTGATAAAAATGGGCTTTTATTGACATTCTCGGTAATAATGGGCCAAAAGTGTCATTTTTGATAAAAATAGGCTTTTATTGACATTCTCGGTAATAATGGGCCAAAAATGTCATTTTTTATAAAAATGGGCTTTTATTGACATTCTCGGTAATAATGGGCCAAAAGTGTCATTTTTGATAAAAATGGGCTTTTATTGACATTCTCGGTAATAATGGGCCAAAAGTGTCATTTTTGATAAAAATGGGCTTTTATGTCATTTTCGGTATTATTGGGCTAAAATGATCATTTTTTATAAAAATGGGCCTTTCATGACATTTACGGTATTAATGGGCCAAATTGTTATTTTTGATAAATATGGGCTTTTTATGATATTTTTTATTTAAAAAGGGCCGAAAATGAGGCAATTAACAAAATTGGGCATAATATGACATTTTTATATAAAATGGGCCGAAAATTGATTTTTTTGGCAAAAATGGGCCATTATTGACATCTTGGATCATATTGGGTCATTTTCAAACATTTTAGTAAAAATGGGTCATTTATAACAATTAGAACAAAAATTGGGCCTTATGTGGCAACCCTATTTTAATTGGGCCATATATGACAATCCTATTAATTGGGCCATATATGACAATTCTATTCTAATTGGGCCATATATGACAATTCTATTCTAATTGGGCATTTTATGACAAATTTTATGTTAATTGGGCCATTAGTGACAATTCTAATAAACTCGAATCTTTCATGATATTTCGGGTAACAATGAGCTATTTATAATAATAACAGTGAAAATCAGATAGTTTGACCATTTTGATAAAAACAATTATATGTTTATCACCTATGGATTTGTAGTCAAAATATACACTCGCAACATTATTTATAACGTTAAATAATGAAACACACTATTTGCGTAAATTTCGTTAAGGCTCTTGTGAGGCACTCTTTCACTCGTACCTACCTAGTGTGCATAGAAAGTCCTGTAGTTATAATCAGAGTCTCCTGGAGGGAGAGCGAGAATTTGTGTATAGATCTATATGGGGTTGACATCCCACACCTGAGCTGCTCGCTACAGCTAGACATGCCAGTCTAGGGTGACAAATGTCTTCTCAGAAACTGACGCCTGAAGAACGTCAAGACAGGCGCTCTCGACATATTAGTATGGTTATAACGACTCACATAGAGAATAACAATACAATAAATTTACAAAATACACATACTCTACTCATAATACGAAGTACGAACTATACAGTCACTACTTTATGTTTAAGTTTTCACTACTCAGGTCTTAGGGTTAAGACCGTACTTTTTCATTAAACAGAAAATACAGGATTTTCTGGGGATCTCTCTTTATACACTATCAAACAAGAATACACATGCTATAATACAGGATTTGAGACAAAACTCACAAACTGTTTTTACAGAAAATATCAGATTTTCTGGTGCTTACAAACTAATACAAAGCATTTATTATAAACTTAATTATGAACTCACCAACATTTTATATGTTGACGTTTTTCAAAATAACTTGTATTCTCAGGACCTCGTTAAAAACAAGTTGGCAGCCAAAGAATGTGGATGTTTGTTGTATTTTTGTTCTCGCCATATTTGATAATTTTGGATGTAATGTTATGCACAAATACAATGATGTAAACTATGTTGGTTGTTATATTTTTATGTATGGTGATGATGATGTCTATGTTTCATTTATATACACTTGTAATGATATTACAAAATGAAGTCACCCGCCCCCGGACGTTTCTGCCGTCTGGTTCGGGGGTGTGACAAATTATAAATAAAATTTTGATGCTATATTTCATAAACAAAATGGGAGTATGTTGCTATATCTTGCATTTAACCTTCGTCGGTCGAGATGTAACCAATAGTAATGTATTTTTATCTCTTTCTGTACTTATATCATTTAAGTTTCATATGTAATTGTCACTTTTACATTTTACAAGGAAGAAAATAGTTAAGGACACATTTGGAAATGTGATGATGAAGTATTTGTCAATCAAATGCAAAAATGGGTAGAGGTAGGGACTACAGTGGGTAGGGTATGATTAAGTATAAAATATGGGATTGAGTTTTGAGCAACAAGCTTTGTTTATACTTATTGAATGCAAACATGTGGCCAGAGTTTAAAAAGATCCATATTATACACCATAATTATCCTTCATGTGCTAACTATTAGATGTGTGACGAAAGAAAACTCATTCATTTCATATGTATATATTTTTTTTATAATAACTATTAATAATGTCAATACATATTTAATTGCAGTATATTTAAGTAAAAATGGTAAATTGATAATGTTATATGAATCAATTAAGTGAATATAACAACTATATCCCTATTATTAGAAAAAAAAAGGAATAGTACATTGCTATATTTCAAAAACAACAAAAGCAATCAACATACATATAGGTGAATAAAATAACATTCACCACATTGGTTTTATTTGTAAACATAAATGACACAATTTTTTCATAGAAAACAAATTGGATGCATTAATGGCTTAAAAATAAATTTATTAAATTCTTCAATGCATATATTAAAAAAATTAATATCATTAAACAAAATAAAACATGAGTTGACAATTAAAACTATAAATTAAAAAAAAACAAAGTATTCAATCATGAACTAATATAAAATAGTAAATATTTTCTTGATAAAAACACAACGGTTTTCGAATGCAAATTAAAATATATACACTCATACATTTCTACTTGGCATAGTCACTATCTCAAAATCTGAACAAAATGAAAATACTTCATGAGAATGATGTGCTTGAAAGATATACTCAACCGTATTTCCTTTAAAGAATTAGGGAAAATGACATAAAAGCCCTTAAGCTTTCACAAAAATGTCGGTTTTACCCTTGGACGTGTTTTATGTCCGGTAAAGCCCGAAGTTTTGTTTAATTTGTTCATTTTTACCCTTGTAGCTGGTTTTCAGGTAACCTACCGGTTACCTAATGCCAGTAAAGCCCTTGAATTTTCAAAAATGTTCAGATTTACCCTTAAGTTTTTCAAAAATGTTCGGATTTACCCTTACATTGATTGTTGTTGTTGTTGTTGTTGTTATTATTATTATTATTATTATTATATAAAAATATTTTATACATACATTTTTAAATGTATAAAAATATTTTATACACACATTTTTAAATGTATAAAAATATTTTTACTAATATAAATATATTTTTAAAAATATATGTACTTGTATTTAGTATTTATATACATTTGAAAACCCTAAATCTTCATCTATAATTGTTGAATCGAACAGAAAAAGCTTGATAAAGTAAAAAATGTCGCCAATGACTGATTTTGCAAAAACAAATGCTTCAAATCAATATAAAAAATGATCCATTTCGTGATCTTTTTTTGTGAACTTACAACAAACATAAATGAAGTTTACAATCGTATTTGACATTTCGTTATCAATTTTTGAGATAAAAATAGTTAATGAATGATTTTAAGTTGATAATACTTAATTTTTATAGTGATCAAGTGTTTTTGTCGAGGGTTTTTTTAATTATATTATGTATTTTCCATTTACGAGTGTTATTTGTTGATCATTTATTGTTATCTACTCACTATTAACCTAATATAGTTGAATAATAGAGGTTTTTTCAAATTTTATACTAAATCTTATCTGTAATCGAGTGTTTTTATTGAGGTTTTCTAATTACGAGGGTTTTATAATTGTTACGTTATGTTTTTAATTAACGAATATTTATTTTGCTTATCTATTTAGTATGTTGTTTGATAATAAATACATATTTATACTTGGTAATATGTACAAATACATATAATTATATCTTTTATATAATATAAACCATATAAATATGTATTTTTATATTTATATGTATATAATATATTTTTATATGAAATAAATATATATTTATACTTATACCTACTAAATACAAATAAATATATTTTTAAAAATGTGTGTATAAAATATTTTTATACATTTAAAAATGTATTAAAAATAATAATAATAATAATAATAATAATAATAATAATAATATGTATAAAAATGTATTAAAAACGTATGAAAATTTTTTATTCATTTAAAAATGTATGTAAAAAATATTTTTATACAATTAAAAATGTATTAATAATAATAATAATAACAACGATAATAATAATAATAATAATAATAATAATAATAATAACAATCAAGGTAAAGGTAAATCCGAACATTTTTGAAAAACTTAAGGGTGAATCCGAACATTTTTGAAAATTCAAGGGCTTTACTGGCATTAGGTAACCTAGGTAACCGGTAGGTTACCTGGAAACCGGCTACATGGGTAAAAATGAACAAATTAAACAAAACTTCGGGCTTTACTGGACATAAAACACGTCCAAGGGTAAAACCGACATTTTTGTGAAAACTTAAGGGCTTTTATGTCATTTTCCCAAAGAATTAAAGGAGATTGTTTCGATCATCTTACCATTCATTTGCACCGTCATTGTAATTACTAACATCTACTTTAGTCTACCGATTCTGAATGAAAGCCCAAATAGCCCACAAATGACCTCTACTTATAGAAAAACATCTCAATTTTCCATCAAACTTGATAAGCCTCGATGCATATGAGTTAAAATCATTAATAACAAAAAAAATGTTTATCCATTTAATTAAGACAAAAAAAATGGTTAAATGTAAATATTTATTAAGAAAGAAAAATGTTTTAGGAATATGTTTATCCATTTAATTAAGACAAAAAAAATACCAAGTTGCTAACCATCTAACAGTTAACAAAGAACATCAAAGAGCAATTATTGAGCATGTAGTTACATACACTACATATGTTAAGAACCACATAACATATATCAACAGAAAGTAAACCATATAACAAACCATCAACTATTATGAAAATGAAGTATGAAGGGGATAAAGATCTACATTATATGAGTTTTGAAAACAAGCAGTCAATTGTTTGTCTTTATTTTTTTTTTTGGGATCGACTATTCATTAAGTATACTTTTGTATTTTCTCGTTAAGAACAAATACTAACTGTTCATTAATATGCCATTGATGATTTAGAATTTAAGTTGGACTTCAAACTTCTCCTAGCCACAAAATATGCTCATACAAACTATATTAAAATCCATCCATTTAATAGTGAATAAAAGATCTATAAAAATAGGCATTTAAACTGGGAATAATTCACATGATGTTTCATAGTTGCAAGACATAAATCACTAGTTATAGCAATGTACTCTCTAAGTACATTGCTATAAATGGTATAAATTGATTTTATTATTAAATTACAGATTACCTTTTGAAAGTAGGAAAATATTTAATTTAATATATATATATATATATATATATATATATATATATATATATATATGTTAAAATAAAGGTATCATAAATTGTTGTTTTTTTTTTTTGTTTTGAATTTGAAGACCAAAGAGGGGCTGGTCACCCTGTATGAGCTATTCTCTCAAAATAGCTAATCATACTTGGTATGTTTTATGAAAAAAAGGGTTTAAAGGAGTCTCCTCCCCTTCATTTAACATGAATCTCCAAATAAAGTTGGAAATATCCTCCGAGTTTAGTAATTGCTGATGTTACAGAGGTTTCAATCCAAATATTTTCAACCGAACAAGCAAAAGGATTTTAATTTCCTTAAATTCCAAATACATGCAACTCCATTTCATTTGCTAAATTCCAAAACAGTCAAATAGAAAGTTTGAACCAAACGCCCGTTACATTGTTGAGTAGTTTTGAATGCTAACTAGTTGTAACCGAATCAAAAGTATAATATGGTTAGTCTATATTCTTAGGAGGAGGAGACGACCGGTCCTTGTTGGAAAGCAAACAATCTGAAGAAAAAAATTGAACGATAAACATCTTCTTAATCTCTCTCCACGTAATCTTATCATCGTTATCGATTCGCTGGCTTAGCTTTTGGATTTGTTCCCACCATGGGAAATTCTTTGGGAATGTCTCGGCTACAAGTTGTCCTTGCATTTCGTATGGGATTTCACGACCCTCAAAACACGAATCTACACGCTTCTTCCACTTACGAAAGACTTTAAGATCTTTAAAATTCTCAGGGAAGATAGGTAGAACTAAGTTTTGGTAGTCAGGTAGAACTAAGTTTTGGTCCTCTTTGGACTCCTCATCTGAGATAAGAGGAAACTCAGGTTGATTTTTTTGAATGTTTTGCAACTCCTCCTCCATATGTTGTACACGACTGCTCAGATCTTTGAGCTTGTTTGACATGGACTCAGCCCCCCTCAGAATTTTGTTTATATCGTTGGCCACACTGAAAAAATAAACCATTGATTGTCATTCGTTATAAGGTACCTTACTTATAGGAGAATAAAAGAGTCCAATCTTGATTAAGTAAAAAATAACTAGTTATTCGCTCTAATGCCCAAAATACCTAACCTTTGTTGTTGATCCATGTCTTCTTGTATCAACTTCCCTGCATCAAATTTTTTAGATTTTATGAGAACTTGTCTGACTGGTTTAAGCTTTTGTGGTAAAGGAGCAGCAACAGCCTCCCATCCATCACCACCACTAACCAGAGCTGAAACCCCAAAAGTATAAATATAAATATTAATAATTTCAAATAACAACAACCAATGAGGGAATAGAAATCCTTACCTTCAGCACCAGTCCACCCAGTGGCACTTGCAGCCACAGGGGAACCAGCAATTGGTGGTGGTGCCATGTCACCAACCCATTGAGCATCAAGAATCTGAGCTGACCAGTTGCTACACATGCCTGCTGCAAAATCTGTGTAATCTGCAGGGATATCAACATCATTTCTGTTTTGTTCCTTAGCCTCTTCTGGTTCCCTGTAGAAAAACAAATCAACCTGCAAACACAACAAATTCACATCATCAAAGTCAAACCATAACCTTTACAAAATTCCCTCCATTAATTTAAAACCACCAGAGTCCATACCATGACATGCCATTTATGCCCTTGGTCAAACACACCTCTCATCTGCAACACCATTCTAGCTAAAAGCCAGAACAGACACCCAATGCTGTGCTTTCCTTTGTTGTTAGCAGGGATACCAATATCAACATATCTCATGGGAGAATCAGTATCACAGAAAGCTATTGTGGGGACAGCCTCCTTGATTGGCTGTAAAGAAAGATCATAAATTTTAGCAACAAAACAAGATTGAAATGTGAGCATGATCATAAATTTGATATTAACCTGGTGATCTGTTCTTGGGTCGGTCAAAATAAGTAAACGGGGCTCACTGAACGATGTCTGGAGCTGATTTGTGAAAGTACCAGGAGTGTGACGGCCAGCAATGGCTTGACAACCTGTGTGCTGAGCAAATTTCAGTACAGCCCTTTGTCCATATGGTCTAGCAGATTGGACAATAATGTCTTGAGGGTTTTCAATTGCTACAATCACTCTGAAGCTTCTCCCATGTTGATAATGTAAATTCCTGTAAAACAATGTCTCATTAATATAAAAGAAAATAAGCACTTTTCAATTCAGAATATCACCTTTTACCAATAAATATTATCAGCCAAAGTTAAAATGAATGAGCTCGTATTACTTTACCAAAATGGTGCATCTAACCCTTAACACAACCTTCGAAAAGATAACACCCAATCTTAGATGAGTTTAGATTAAAATGCAAATTAACCTATGGAGTAAACATATGAGTCTGTATCCAAACAGACAACTAATGTTGCCTAGTCCAATCAAACAACTATCAAATCACACGGTTTGATACCATTTAGACCGTATGGCTTAAGTTGCATCAGACTGTCAGAGTAATATTTCACAAAAAAATGTCAACTGGAATCCATGCTTGGGATGAAGGAAAGTAGCGCCCGAGAAACCCCCGAGCATTCTCCAGACAAACCAACGACAGATCAAGAATCGGAAACAAAGAGACTAAACAAATCTATGATAGATAAAGTTTTGAGCACGCCAAAACATGGAGTATGCAGTTTATACCGTCGTTGCGGCGCTTAAATACGTAACGTTCCATCTGAAAATCACAATTCTTGGTGCCGAGATGGACTTCAGCAGACAACATCATTTGTATATCGGCCTCCTTCGTCGACAACACTTTAGGTTGTGCCATTTGTTGCTACTTCGCTCTTAGCTGCTGTGCTTCTTAGGGTTTCGGTACTTCGCCGTTGCAGCTAGACTAAAGCAGGAGGGGGAGATGAATTTTTGACAAAACTTCAAAAATGATAGGGGCGTATAAGAAGCATTTCAGGTAACTATGAAAACATAAGAAACAATAATAATCTTAAATTTTTTTTTTTAATAAAATAGAAAAACTCATAAAATAACATTAATAAAAATAATTCAAAATAACTATAAAATAACATTTGACAAAATAAATAAGTGTGACAAATAGCAAAAAAAAAATCTTTATATATTAGAAATGATTTTTTTTTAAATTAACTCATGTAATACATGAGTCTCACAACTAATAATCAAACAAAATAAAAAAGCCAAAAGACATAAAAGCATTTTTTTAAGTTTTTAAGGAAATATCTGGTTTTTATCTTTTGATGAGTTTTAGATTTTATTAATGCTAGAATTTCTCACTTTTAGTGGTGGCTAAGTGACCCGGTGACCGAACCTAAAATTCACCAAATGGTAAAATCAAACATTTCTTGAATACTTAAAGGCTTTTATGTCATTTTTCTAAGTAAAAAACATAAATCAATTGAGTAATTGTGTATATTTAAAGAAAAAACAATTGTGAAAAAAAAAGATCACACTAAATAAAGAATGGATTTAAACAGTTAATGAATAAAGGTATAGAACAATTAAATATATAGCAGTAAGGATCGATTATTGTAACGAAATTCATATCGGTTAATGAATAGATTTAAACAGTTAATGAATAGAGGTATAGAACAATTAAATATATAGCACTAAGGATCCATTATTGTAACGAAATTCATATCGGTTAAAACCAGGTGGCTAAGAAAACATGGAATTTATACTAGGTAACTAACAAATCGTATGAGATAGTTAAATATATAGCCGCAAGGATAAATAACAACCGGAAAATTCCAAAAAAAAGTTCACAAACATGAAATTCATATCAATAAGGATAAACCACAAACGTGAAATTCATATCCCAAACATAATCTGCTTCGAACACTCTTTTGGAAGGATATATAGGCATTGTTCTTATTTTATACAACAAGTCAATAACTCTAGTGATTCATGAAGAAAAAAAACGATAAACGGAAATCACAACAATGGATTAGTTATTGCAATGAAAAAATTGAGTTAATAAATGGAAATCGATTCTTCAATGAGCAAGTAAATGAAATGGATTATTGGAACGATTACAGAAAAACAATTTTATGAAATCGATTATTGCATAAAACGATTTTAGAAATCGAGGGCAAAAAACAACTTACACGCGATCAATTTAAAAAATATGAGTTCAGTAAGAAAAGAATCTGACTAGTTGATTGGAGAGTAATCGTTCATGGGAATGGCCAATCTTGCCCTCTTGGTGAACGACTTGAGAAGAAGAAGAGTAGCCTAGATTCCAATTTCCTCAGTCTTGAATCGAATATTTTTGCTAATTTATTATAAAAGGATAGATAGGTAATTGAAGAAATTTGGAGACTGGAGTTGAAATCGAAATGCCATGTAGGAGAAGTATTCGTCTTATCGTGAGTTGCATGTGTTCCTCAAGAAGGTTTTCTTCAAGCCACACAAACTAGGTAAGTCTTTGCAAACCATATCACCTTGTTCCAAGATTTCACTAATAATCCTTTCTTATATCACTTCATTTTCATGATTATGCTCTTAGAACACCAAAGCTTCACAAATCTCCTCAAGGAAGCAAACTAGGGCCGAAAACCTTCTTCCTCTTCCTCTTCAAAACCAAAAAGCCCCAAAGTTAGCTTCATACCCCTATTTTTCAAGTTTTCTTTCTTTTGGGGGGAGGATACAAGTCAAATCTTGTGAAAGATCTATGTATATTTGCTTGCGTGTGTATGTTTTGCATGATATGTGTGTGAAATGTTGTGATCTTATGTTAAAGGTCCATAAACTCGAGACTTTGAACAAGTCTCAAGTGGATGGAGCTTAGTTATCTTAATATTGTTATATTAGCTTGGTGTTTGACAAATATGGAAACATGTTACTTGGTGTAAATGGATTTTCTTGTTTGTGTTAAAAGATTACCAAAAATTTTGTCTAAGAAGATGTTAAAACAAATTTTGGCATGAAAACTTAAAAAATGGTGAAATACGGAAACTCTACTAAAAATGGACAAATTTCGGCCATAAGCACAAAAATGGGCCTTTCATAAACATTTTGGTAAAAATTGGGTTATTCTTGATTTTATGGTAAATTAGACCAAAAATGGACTTTTTAGCAAACATGGGCCATATTTGAACATTTTAGTAAAAATGGGCCGAGAATGGACATTTTTGGAAATATTGGGCCACTTATTACTTTTTTGGTAAAAATGGGCCTTTTATGACATTTTCGGTACTAATGGGCTAAAATTGACATTTTTAGTAAATATAGGCCATTTTGTAACGCCTGTTCCAGATATTGGTTGATATTGATAATGTTTAGGGAGTTTTGTGTCTGGACTCGGCGAGTTGGGAGTCCAACTCGTCGAGTAGAGACGTTAATTCATGGACACGAATCGGGACCTACTCGGCGAGTCCAAAGGGCCGACTCGGCGAGTTGGAGCTGTAAAAAGAAAACCCTAATTACGGGGTTTGCCCCTATATAAAGATTATTATCTGCCCTTGTGGCCTCCCTGAGCACCTCAGTAACCCCAGGAAAGACGTTTGCGTCCGTAAACTCTCTTTAGTGAGAAAAAGAGCTTGGATTAACAAGCTTGTTGTGTGGAAGAAGAGCTTTAGGAGAAGGAACGAGAAGGGAAGCAGTAGATCTGACATCTACACTGTTTTGGTCACCATTTTAAGGTAAAAAGACGTTACCTTGAGCTGTAGATTCTTAGACCTCTTCTCTTTCAAAGTGTAAGACCATTTTGGGGTAAGGTTGTGTCCAACTCAGATCTGAACCTATCATAGGGATATGGTTCCAGATCTGGACCTCTTTGGGTCCCCAATGACATAAAGTGGCTTCCTTTACGTAACCTTATCCCTTTCCATGCATTAAAACCTAGTAGGAAGGCTAGTTTTGGGTGATATATCCTTGCATGCACTTAAAGTTTACAACTTTATGTGGTATCTATGATAAGGAAGCTTGGATCTGAAGTATGGGACTCTAGATTCCACTAGAAAAGATCGAAAACGTGATGGATTAAGGAGAACTCGTCGAGTCGTTTAGTGAACTCGGCGAGTCAGGAAGGGTTTTCCTGTTACGGTTAAGGGTTTACGGTTAAGGGTTTCCGGTTATGGGTTTTCGGTCAAGAGTTTTCGGTTGAGAGTTTGAGGACTCGACGAGTCACTCAAGTGACTCGGCGAGTTGATGAGTCATGCAAGGAACTTGGCGAGTGGATGGATAAGCTCGACGAGTTGAGGTCAACATGGACTGTTGACCTTGACGTTGACCAGGGTTGACTTTGGGGGTAATTATGGGATGGTGATAAGTTAATCACTTGATGTTTATAGGCAGTTGAGGAGCAGCGTGTGGGAAATACCTGACCTTAACTTATCGGTTCAACGTTCAAGAGGTGAGTCTTCTCACCATACCAATGGGTTTAAGGCATCAAGGCCGGCCCATTTTATGATATGTGGAATATTGATTGTTTATGCGTTGTGATTAGTATGATATTTAGTTGGAAGACTCTGGGGGGTTCCCGTGGCATCGGTATAAGACCTTGGAGGGTTTCCATGGCATCCTAGTATATTTGCATGATTAGTATGTATGATATTACTTGACAGGAAGACCGTGTGGGGGTTCCCATGGCAGGAAGACCATGTGGGGGTTCTGATGGCAGGCAATAAGACCACGTGGGGGTTCCAGTGGCACAAGGTGTAAGACCCTTGAGGGTTTCCATGGCTTCCTTATATGTTGTATGCATGGCTTACGTGTAGAGATAGCTTTATAGCTAATATGATATGTAATGTGTGGATTGTGTATGGGGGTATGCTATGGGGGACTCACTAAGCATTAGCTTATAGTCTGTGGATTTGTTTCAGGTACATCTGAGTCCAGAGGCAAGGACATGGCTTAATGGTGCGGCGTGCACTCTCTCCCTGGCTTTTGATGGGACACTCTGATGATTTTAAATAAAATTGTGTTGGATGTGAATTTTGTAAACAATGATTTTGTGAATTCATGAATTATGGAAATGTGTTTTGACTAATCCAAAATAAAAAATTTCTTTTGAAAATTTGGGCGTTACAAGTTGGTATCAGAGCCTTGGTTTGAGGGATTCGGGCACACTCTTGGGTGTGTCAGGACTCAAACTAAGGAAATGGTAAAAATTGTTTCCAAAAGATAAAGTAAAAGTTAAAGCTTTTAAAGAATGGAAAAAGAGGAGAGTGCCACGCGCGTGATCGGCCGAGCCAAGTAAGTAGTTCCCTAATGTATGTTAGCCATGTTATACTAATATTCGAGTTATGATAGTCATATGGATCTTGCTATGTGTATGCTTCTAAAATTGTATATGGTTAGGAGCTTATAGCCTTAGAATGATTGATTTGGTCTTATTTTCTGTTCCTTGTCTGGTTGTGGTCCTAGGGTAGAATCTTTTATTCGAAAGTCTATTTGATCCTTTTCGGTGTATAATTTGCATGCATAAGGCAACCGAATATGATTGGGATGGGTAGAGAAAATCTTAGGACAGCCTAGGATTTGGGATATGCGGTGGTATGAGAGATGTGATTTATTTTGGGACGAATTGAAGTTATCAGGTGGAGCATGGGGAAAGGTACAGGTAGGTGTGGAAGGTAGTATTGGGCCCGTACTACTGAAAGCACAGGACTTGTACCCAAACCAATGTTATACTTGACGGCTCCAAGGAGTACCGGTGTGGGAAGATCCCTTGTATGGATATTCTGATCGTTATGGTTTATGACATTACAGTTCAGCATGGTGGTAACACGATTTGGAGCAGGAGGATCAGGATCGAGTAACACTACCGCGCCCATTGATGAGAGGCTGCGTGAGCTCATTGCAGCCGAGGTGACGAAGGGAATCCTTGACACTACCCCAGTAATCTTTGGGATGGTCAAGGAGGGTATAATGGAGATCATGGAGGACCGGCTCAGGTCATTCAGAGCCG